TCATCTGTAAATGAACAGATGAGGGCCTCGGTCATAGGGAGACTCAGAGGATTTAATGAGACGTAAACCTAGAACGGCATCCAGTGTGCAGGAAGCATCGGCAAACGTTGGCTGGGCTGTTGCTTCCCCAGCGCATCGCAGGGGTCCCGCGAGGGGCAGCGCCTGACACGATTGCCTGTTCCAGGGACTCCCGTGCCCCAGCGGAGCGCAGACCCTGTGCTGTCAAAAGCAGAAGTAACTGTCTATTTTGAGGCATCACGGAAGCTGTTTCCATGGTTACCCGGTCATACTGACTAGCAGACAAAAGACTTCCACTGCTTTGGAGAAAGACGTGAGGCTGTGGGCTGGGCAGCGGAGTGGCCTGAGGGCCCCAGCGCTGCCCCCGATGGAGGGCACTGCCCCTCCCCGTGCCTTGGTTTCCTCATCTGTCCAATGGCAGAAATAGCCATCTGCTTGTGGTCTGGGCTGCTCTCAGCCAGGGAAGGGAAAAATCACTGCGTCACCTGCTGGGAAGATGACGTCGTGACCCCTCATCTCTAGGTACCACTGTCAGCCATTCCCGAGTTTTGGGCCACAACTGGATGAACGGACAGAAGCGAGATCTAAAGGAAGGGATCTAATCTCTGGGTCACTTTGAAAACAACCATTTATGGGGCGCCTGGGTGGCTCAGTCGGTGGAGCGTCCGAGTCTTGATTTCGGCTCAGGTCACGATCTCGGGGTTGTGAGTTCGAGACCCGTGTCAGGCTCTGTGCTGACAGTCGAACCTGCTTGGGACTCTCTCTTTGTCCCTCCCCCGTTCTCTCTCTCTCTCTCTCTCTCTCTCTCTCGCACTCTCAAAATAAATAAATAAATAAAAACGTAAAAAAAAAAAAAAAAAAAAACCAGAATCTATTCCAATAGCAAATCTGTATAAACCAATAATCAAATGCACACACGAGTTTTACTAAGACTTCAAGGAGCAGATATTAAATGAACCGTTCCAGGCAAAGAAAGAGAGTTGCCCAGCTCACTTTCCAAGAGCCGAATAATCTTAGAGCAGAGAGAGTGTAAGAAAAGACAATTAAAGACCAACATCACATATGAACATTTAAGCAAAAAAAAAGCATAATTTTTGCCTTCATGCAAAACTGTCTCAGCAAGAGACATGGCCCCCAGGCCACGGGCCACCCAGGCACAGCAGATCACAGCGGTCGGAAGCCACCATGTCCCTCCCTTCGTACCTTGGCCCTGCAGAAAACAGCGTTCGGGAACCTCGGTGTGATCTAGGGAGAGGCGGCCCTAAAGTTATGATGTTCACGGGGGCCCTCGGAGAAGAGGCAAGAAACACAAATGGAGACGGGCCATCGAAAATAAAGTTCTAGCCCCTGCACTCCTGAGTCTGTGGGCTGATTCACATGCAGGGCATACACCCCCAGGCGTGTGACAGCGACGTGCCCGGAATCCGCACACGTGTGCCTGCGCTCGGGAACCGTACAAGTGACGGCTGCCTAGGGGGGTGGCCGCCCGCTCAGACCCCGGGGAAGCCAGATGACAAAAGCCAAGGGGGACTGCGACTTCCACCTCCCGCCTGCCGTCATTCAAACAGCGTGGGGTGCCAAAGCTGTCTCCATGCTCCCCAGACACCAGCTCGCCTGCACGCACACACACTTCCTGGCTCAGAGTTGAAATCCAAGTTAAAACAAATACACAGACGGATGTAGAGAAGGACATGGTATCACTCTCTCAGAGCCCAGCACTGAGGGACAATTTCTGGGCATATTTCATTCCCTTGTTTTTTCTGTGTTCTTTTCTGTGTCCTTTTTTTTTTTTTTTTTGTAAAATAGTCATTAGCTTCCTTTCTTGCCCCCACCAAATATTGTAACATAATCATTTCCGGGGCGCCTGGGCGGCTCAGTCAGTTGGGCGTCCGACTTCAGCTCAGGTCACAATCTCGCGGTCCGTGAGTTCGAGCCCCGCGTCGGGCTCTGGGCTGATGGCTCAGAGCCTGGAGCCTGTTTCCGATTCTGTGCCTCCCTCTCTCTCTGCCCCTCCCCCGTTCATGCTCTGTCTCTCTCTGTCTCAAAAATAAATAAACATTAAAAAAAACAATAATAATAATAAAACATAATCATTTCCTCGTGTCATTACAAATCTAACGCCACATTCTAAACGACCGAACCACGGACGGCGTCGTCATTCCTCGTCATTTGCTCTGTTGGATGTTTACAATGTTTCCGAATTTGGCCCCTATGAAAAAGGCTGGACCACAAGGCCTCATCCCTCTTCCTTCCCATGGGGCCCATGTGGGCTCAGGCTGGGCCGAGAGGTGGACCCCAGACTCTCCTCTCTTCTCCAACCTCGTTCCGTGCCAGTCTGACCCAGCGTTGCACCCGGGCAAATCTCCAGAGCACCTGCGGCCTGAGCCACACGCGGTGGGCATGAGGTGGTCGGGGCCATGCCCTCCAGGGCACAGAACAATAACCGTTAGGGGGCACCTGGGAATATGGAATGTTACACGGCAAAGGGGAAATCAAGGCCGCTGGCCAGCTGACCTTCAGGTAGGGAGGGCTCCCTAAATTATCCAGGTGCGGCCCAATGTAATGACGAGGCTCCTTCAGTGTGCAAGGGGGGGCAGGGGAGGCAGTCACGTGATGCAGCATGATTAAGAGCCCGTAGCCGCTGCTGGCTATGCAGACGGAGGGAGGGGCCACGAGCCAAGTGATGCAGGTGCCCCCAGAAGCTGGAGAAGGGAAGGTATGCATTTCCCCCGTGGAGCCTCCAGAAGGAACCGGCCTGTGGACACCTTGATTTTTTTGTCTGGTAAGACCCATGTCAGACTTTTGAACTGCAGAACCGTCGGAGAACAAATCTGCGTTGTTTTAAGCCACGGAGCCTGTGGTCGTCTGTTTTGGCCCTGGGCTGCTCTTCGGGGGCTGGGCACCGTCCACACTCACGCCCTGGGCGTCTTAGCTGGCCCCGGGGCTTCCCATCCGTCCGTACACTGATGACTCCACACCTTTATCTGTGGCCGAGCCGCCGCCCCTGACTGCAGACCTCCGGCTGCCTTCCCGACAGCCCTCCCCGGGGCCCAATACGATCTCACACTTACTGGGTCCAAAACCCACCTGTCGGTCCCGTCTCTGCTCCCGGCCACCCTGCCCCCCACCCCAGTGTCCTCACTGTCCGTCCAGGAAAGGGCCCCGCCTTCACCCGCTGCACCAACCAACCCTCGGACGGAGCTGCCGCGGTCCACACCGCACTTGGCAAAGCCCGCCAGCTCAGCCTTCCGAGAACGCCCAGGACGGGACCCGTCTCCACACCTTCGTCATCCCCCCCGGGGCCCGCTGCTTCTTCTCAGTGAGCCCCGGGCAGGGCCTCCTCCTGCCCCCGCTTCCACGTTGACCCCTCTGAGGTTTCCTCTTTTCAAACACCTGTCTCGTGACTTCATGCCCGGCCCTCACCCCTCTGCTGCTTTCTCACTCCCTTAAGACGAAACGGATCCTTCCCCTGACCCACAGGCGTCCTGAGTCACCCGCCTTGCGTGTCTCCCGGACCCCAGCTCCCAACACCCCTCCCCTTAGTCACCGCCCTCCGACAACGCTGGTGCCCTTCCATCTCGGAGCCTCTGCCCCTGAAGTGTCCCCCTTCTAGAACATTCTCCGCCCAGAGCTTGCATGGCTCGCTCCCCGGCACCTTGAGGCGTCTGTTCTGTTGTAACTTCCGGTGAGATGACCTCCCTGCGCCCTGCTCTTTGGGGGCTGTTGCTGATGTCCCTTACTACCTCCTGCCATTGCACCACCCGGTGGTGAGTTCTTCGTCTGTTTGCTGGCTCCTGCCGTGCCGTCACAGCGGGACGTGTGTGCAGCATAGCAGGCGGTGTCCCCAGCTCTGCTCAGAGACGGACATCTGCTGTCCCCCCCGACCTGCGCTGGCCACTCAGCCCCCAGGAGGAGGAAGGCTCAGCGCCGGGGAGAAGGTGTTCCTGGGGCCGAGTGTCTGCGGTCACTCACTCCTTCACTCACTCACTCATTCACTCATTCATTCATTCATCCACTCAGCAAGTGTTTATTCCCAGACACTGTTGAGGTAAATGCAGAGATGAACCAAAGTCCCCACCCTCCTGACTGGGGTCCTGCCTGTCCCTGCCCCTCTGCTACCACTGCAAAGTCACCCAGGGAGGATACCATGGCCTGACCCCCTGATCCTCTCTGCCTTTAGGGGCCTCTGGGGAACCCAGCACCAAGCAGGCCAGGCTGGAGGTGAGAGCACCAGCCAGGGCATCTCAGAGTCCTGGGTTCAGGTCCTGCCCTGCCGCTTTTCACTTCGGGTGACCTTGGGCCCATCCCTGGAGCCTCAGCTCCCTCCTCTGTGCTGGACTCCATCAGAGCTCATGTAAAGACGAGACGATGTGGGTAGAGAGCTGTCTGGGTGCCTGGCTCAGAGTATCCAAGGAGTGTCAGCCACTGTGTGGTCCTGGTGGTTGTCACATCGTGCTCCTCGGAACTTGTTCAGCCCCGGACCCCCACGGCACCCCCCCGGCATCCCCCCTGGCTGGCCCTGTCAGGGTTCCAGCCTGAGGAAGTGACCTTGTGGAGCACACAGGCTGCTGGGGTAGACGGCCCAGCCCACAGAAAGTTCTGCAGGCTGTGGCTAGTCTGTGAAAGGGAAGCTTTGGGAGCTCTGGGGACACAGAGAAGGGGCCTGAACCAATGTAGGGGGGTCAGCGAAGGCTTCCCAGAGGAAGTGCCAGCTGAGTAGGGTCCCACCTTAGCTTCTGGCTCCCAGCTCGCTCCCCGACCCTGGTTTCAGCTGCCCGGTCCCTGGAAGCTGGGCAGCCCCAGCCTGTGCAGGGACTTGGAGGGCGGTGGGGGGGGGGGGGGCAAGACCAGGCTCCCCCTGCCAGCGGCACGACAGCAGCACGGAGCCCACGGGCCCCCAGCCCGCACCCTTCCCACCCAACCCGGGCACAGCCCCGCCGCCCCCACTGCCCACCGGGTCCCCGGGGGGAACGGGCACTTACGTTTGGAGTGCTTGTCACACAGGGCGGCCGCACGCATGTCGCAGAGACGCAGGGAGCCCTTGCTGCTGCTGTAGACGAAGAGGTTGCAGTGGTGGGGGTGGAACTCAGACGCCGTGATCACCTCCGTGAGGTCCTCCATGTTGGCGGGCTTGATGTCCACGATGTCTGGCCCCATCAAGGAGAGGCCAGAGAAGGGAGGGGACTGCCGCCGCCCTGCCTTCCCACGTGCCCCGCATCTGAGCGGCCTCCCCCTTCCCGAGACCCCTGGACGAAGCCCCGGCCCCAGACAGCCTCTGAGCTGCACACCTGCACGTCCGACCGACCGCCGGCTGCCTTTCCGGGTGCCGTCCACTGTCCCTGCAGGCTGGACCCGCTGCCTCCCACCCGACCTGCGCCCTGTCCCCAGCCAGCACCCACCAGCCCGCCCGGCCTCCCCTCCATCCCCCACACCAGGTGCCCAGGAGAAGGCAGGGCGTGTTTGAGGGCCTAGTACGTGCAAGGCTCTTGCTGCGCAATGGCAGTGCTCCCGCCACTCGGTGCTCCCAGCTCCTGGAGCTGGGGGTGCGGCACCTTTTGGATCCCCTCCCCCACCCCCGCAGCCACTCCCCTTCTATCCACAGCATCAAGGTTCTCCTTTGGGGAAAAGGCTCTCTCCTTGCTGGGTTCTCAGCGCTGATCTGTGTCATCTCCACTCACGATCACCATGAGGGACGAGCACATGGCCTCAGAGGGGCCGACAGAGGGCCTCCATGACCCTTGGATGACTAGATACGGGAGCCAATTCATCCGTTTTCTGTCTAGGACCAGGAATTCTGTTGCTTGCAAAGGAAATACCCCTGACTGATACTCTGGAGCCCAGAGAGGGTGAGCAACTTGTCCAGGATGGCTCAGCAGTGAGGGGTAAGGCTGAGTTTCCATCCACTCCTCGTGGCCTACAATAGCAAATCCGAACCCCTTGGTGTAGCATTCAAGGCCTGGCACTCCCACCCCCCCCCCCCGCCCCACCTCCACCACCCTCTATCTCTTCAGTTTCAGATCCCACTAGTCGCTCGGCCCTAAAGGTACTTTCCTCTCTGACAGCGATACCCTGGTCTCTGACTCCCCAGCCCTGTGCGGGGCTCTGCCCAGGCCGTTCCCTTTGGCTGAAATGCCCTCTCCTCCCCCTGCATCTGTGTGTGGGCCCTGGCATCAGAGTCTGGGGTTTGAGTCCCAGCTCTGCCACCAAGTTCCTTAGCTCTTCGTGCCTCGGTTTCCTCTTCTGTAAAATGGATCGACAGGGCTAACACAGTCTTGCTGTGAAAATTAGAAGCGGCAAATCCCCTTGCTCGCTGTTTTATACATCACAGAGCTCAGTGAATATCAGCTGCCATTATTATCTTTCATTGTCTGGAAAGAATGGGATGGAAACTCTGAGACGCCTCCTGCCATCAGCTCTCCCTGCCCCTCCTGCCAAAGCCTCAATGAGAGACATTTCCTGACTTGTGTAAACGTGAGAGTTCATAAAACGTCCGAAAGAATGCTGAATCTGCGTGAGGCACCGAGGAGGGTGTGTGTGCTCACGGTATTGTGTGCTCAAATATTGCTTCAGGAAACCCATCATTAACCAGACACTCAGAATCGCATAAAAATATCGAGAGGAGGGAAAAGGAGCCTGAGCTGCGAAAAACTGCGCTTCTCTCGTACCATAAGCAGCAGAGATTAAATCACGGAAAATGAGACTGAACCGTAAGAGAGAAAAAGCCAAGACTAAATTCTCTCTGCAGAACTCGGGCCACAAACATCAAAGGACGGACACCAAAGTGGCCAGGGCTCCAAGGAACGCCGGCCGGCCTGGAGTCCCGGTGGGGTCACTCATCAGGGGACACGTGTTTACTCCGCGTTTCACGGAGAGACGACTTCCGGGGGAACAGGACTCCGCGGGATATGGTGAAATACCTTGCCTGTTTCGGCTTCCCATCAGAGCGGGGGGAGGGGGAGGGGACGGGAGGACCCGTCCATCCGCCCGATGGCACTCGGCGCAGCCGGCTCCCTTATTGCCTTCCCGAAGGATGGAGGGCAGAAGTGCCAGGTGCCATGCGTCATTCCCAGGCTGGAGCTCTGAGAGCCGGGACGCGGTGTGCATGACACTTTGCCATCTGCTGTGGGACCCGCGCCTCGGGTCACCTGCTATGAAATCCCCCTCGGCTGTTCCAAGCCTCAGAGACTTTCAGATCACCTGTCCCTGCACACAACCCACCCTCCTGACCCCCTCGGCGTCCAAAGCCAATTCACTTTCCCACCTCGAGATGTTCTAGAACGCACCTCAATGGACGAGGAGCAGAGGCGTGACGTCCGAACCCCAGACGTGGATCGCTCTGCCTCCACAACGACCAAAACTCTGACGCACTCAACGACCCCTGTCGCCCAGTTTACGACTGTCGTTCATTGTGAGTCACGGCATGAGCTCAGAAGCCGTCCGCCCACATTTACCAGATGTCTGGCTCATGGAGACTGAGGCTAGTGTTTATGAGACTTTTCACAGAGACGGCCAGGCTGGGAAGCTGTGCGCACTGGTATCCAGAAAGCGCAGCGGGAGGGCCCGGAAGCCTCCTCTCCCGGCCCCCACGTGCTGCTCCCAGACTCACGCGGGGCTCAAGGCCAAGCAAATGGGTGTGGCCTCTTTGCTGGATTCCAGACTGCACGCTTCCCGTGACCCCATCATGCTTAACCACTCGTGACAGCCTCATGACAACAGTCGTTAGAAACAGGTACGAGGTGTGATGGCTTTTAGAAGTACACGGGGGCACAATCAGGTCTGCAGCGAACAGGCCTGAACCAGGTGACACAGAGCTGGCCGAGGGTGATGCGCGGGGACCAAGGGTCCTGTGTGTGGGCTCGGGAGACAGAGCCTCCAATGCCCGGGTCCCACTCACAGCCCAGGACTTACAGCCCAAGCATCATTCCGGAAATCACTTGCTGTTTCAAACAAAGGGCTCTGGATACAGTGGGTGCCAGGGAAAGACGGACGTGAAACACATTCCCGCATGACCCGGGAGGAGGAAGACCAAGCCATAGTGGCAGCGAATGTGCTGGGGCCCCCGCAGGGCAAGGGTTCCTTGAGTCCGGGCAGGGGGTCCCGCGCCTCTGCATCCCAGGGCCAGAGCCATGCCTGCATGTCAAGGACAGCAGGGCATCCTTCAGGGCATGGCCACCCAGCCTGATCCCCTGCGATCAGCCTCTCCAAGACCTCCTGCTGAGCCCGCCACAGGACCCGCCCTGCACCTGCTACCTGGCTCCTCCCGGGTGCAGGCGGGTGTGTGAAAGGATTAATTGCCGAGTGGGGCTGTCACTGTGGAACTCCTTCATCACATCACAAAGCCGGGCCTGAACTATACCCCAAACGGAACGCACAGTGCAAACGCTCCTCCTTGACTCACACCCATGTGGCCTTGTGCACGTGGACTGTGAGACATTTGGTCCAAACGTGACCTGATGTGGGGGCTTTGACTCTGGCAGGCCCCGTGCTGGGTCAGAAGCCGGGGGCCCCGGGCTGAGCATCCGGTCTCAGCTCTCTCTCGGATGCTCAGGGCCGCACGCAAACGTCACTTACAGTCCTCAAGCCTCAGCGTCCCCCATTTGCGAAACGAGGGGTTGGGCATGATCCCGGAGCACCCTCTCATTTGGAGGACTGACCCCCAGGTGGCCTCTCCCCCATTTCACGGGCAGCTGCACGAATCCCACACGTAGGCGGCGCCTCACGAGGTTTACGGCAAACTGGCCTCCCTGGGGAATGAGCGTAATTAGACTCATCGGCAAGCCCCTCCCCCTGGCAAAGCCGGATGAATTATTCATGTTGTTTTCCATATACCTGTGCTCCAACTGTGTGATGGGCGTGCATTTAAACTCCAGTCACACCTTGGCAACTAAGTTTGCTGACCAGGTAGGTGGAGAGAGGAGCAGGTCATGGAGGGAGGAGGAGGAGGAGGAGGAGGAGGAAGAGGAGGAGGAGGAGGAAGAGGAGGAGGAGGAGGAGGAGGAGGAGAATGAAGAGGGAAGGTGAACCTGCTGGATGCCACACCCCGCAACTGAGCACCAGGTACTTTTCCAGGAAGGCGTGAGGCCACCAGGGGCTGGGAGAGGCAGGAGGGAGCCTCCAGAGGAAGCACAGCCCTCCCAGCACCTTGACTGCAAACTTCTGGCCTCGAGAACTGAGATTTCTGTTGTAAGCCCCACCCCACCCCCACCCCGCCAGTTTGTGGAAATTTGTTCTGACATCCACGGGAAACTCATGCTTCCCGGGAGCTGGGGAGCAGTGGCCCGACCACTGCACGAGTACCACAGACATCTCGTCATGCTTATTTGTTCACTGCCCAGCTGCCCAGCGAGGGCAGGGCCCTGTCTGGATCGCTGCTGCACCTTCGGTGCCTAGAGGAGTGCCCGGCACATGGCAGGTGCCCAGTGAACAGCCGCTGGAGTCAATGAACCAACCAGCCCGTCTCAGGCCCCTCCAATCCAGGCTGGGGGTGGGTGCAGGAAGTGTCAAACCCTCTCAAGGGGAAGAAGCCCTTCACGTGGAGATGAACAGTAGGGCTCAGGGAGACTCCAGGCCAGGGGAGTGGTGGTGGAGGGGTCCTTTAAGGAGGGGACTGGCACGGGGCACCTGGGTGGCTCAGTCGGTTGAGCGTCTGACTTCGGCTCAGGTCACAATCTCATGGTTTGGGAGTTCAAGCCCCACGTCGGGCTCTGTGCTGACAGCTCGGAGCCTGGAACCTGCTTTGGATTCTGTGTCTCCCTCTCTCTCTGCCCCTCCCTTGCTCGTGCTCTGTCTCTCTCTCTCACAGAAATAAATAACTCCAGCCCAGCTTCACATCTGTGTCCTGCTCAAACCTCTCCACCGGTGAATGCGGTGTACCCCAGCCCGTGGACGAGGAAATAGAGGCTCAGCAAGGAAGAGCCACTCTCTGGGGACTCGGCAGAGGCGGGGGGCGGGCAACCTGGGACTGAGTCGGATTCCAGAGCTGGCAATACACCCACTGTGTGATGGGGCAAAGCAGAGCAGGGGTGAGAAGCATAAACCCTGGCCCCTGACAGCCTGAGTGGGCATGGAGGGGCCAGCGCCCCCTGGAGGAGGAGGTCTCTGGCTCCTCGAAGCCTTTGGCTCCTGCCCCCATGTCATACGATGAATC